TTATTATGCATTTGATGGCCACTGGTGAACCACCATTTAGAGATAGGCAGTTTGATACAAGTTTAATACGCGAGATTGTGGATGGACTACGACCACCGATGCCTGATTCCGCACCAGAGAAATACAAGAAACTTGCCGGGCGGTGTTGTGACGCTGATCCTGACAAGCGTCCACTTTTGATTGATCTTGACAAGATTATTCGAGAGGCGTTTAGTGACAATTATTTTAACAACATGTGGAATGCCGTTTATCATAATGACGCAAAACCCTTATCACGTCTCGAGAAGTAAAGCAAATATTCTAGCACGCTCTTACCTACTGGAGATTTGCCTACAGTTACGATTCAGTTGCAGGTAACTGTTTACATGTTGATATTGAAATAACATCATTTTGCAATACTAACGTTGTCGTCTATATACTATCACTCAGTGACTCAAAATTTTGAATAAGAATTTAACATGACTGGTAGTCAAAGGCAAGTCGAATTAACAAAGTTTTGATGTAAAATAGAATTGGTACTGATTTTATGGTAGTAATTCTGTACTTTAAGCTATCAGGTACGCTCAGATTATACAAGAATGGTGCAAAGCAACATGAGCGTTACCAGAATATCAGTGATAAAACTCTCTGCAATTGTATTATGACCAAATTTTGTTCATCTATACAGTGAACTCTCCCTAAATGGGACTGAAAATGCATTTAGGGGTATATTAAAATTCACGCGATTCTGATAAATATTATACTTTATTTTGTTGCATTCTTATTGGTTAAAATATCTAATAAATCTCTCGAGAATTCTCCGAAAATAAGCAACACTTTTTTGTTATAGAATATTAAAACTATCTGTCAACTGATGCCATTGATGTCTGAATAAATACATGACCTGATGTCAAGTTGTACTCGAGGTCTGAATAAGAATATGAATTTGTAGTAACATTGTCTTTTAACATCAGAAAATAGTTTGCTTGTTAAAGTGGATAATTGTCTATATGTTATTGTAGTGGTAGCAATTTTGTTATCATTATAACCCGGGATTTTTAATTCGCCGAATTTTATTGGTGATGGACGTTTCCGTATTTAACACATGAGTCACGTGCGTAAATTTACGTCATATTAATATACTAGCACTAAATAGAATTTCCAATAAACAATGTATGTGATATACACTTCTTTCCTTTTCAGAGACCAGCCCTTGTAAAGGGACTGACCCAAATAGCCCATTGCCTTAACGTCTCATGTGGTATTGTCTTTCAGTCTCAAAGAGTTCATCGAAGAATCACTGATAATCCTTAGTACCCTAATACTTGTAGATATATGGCTCAACATATGTTATACATCATGGTCAACTCTTAGTGTACAGTTTATTTCTACTACTAACAGTTTTGCGAGTTTTGATCTTTTTAGATGGCGTTCCAAGCTCGTCAACTTGACACTTTGTAATGGTATTTTTTACAGATCCACTAGGCTTCTTTGCTTCTTCCATCAATGCTTGTACTATAATTTTCGACCTTGATACAATCGCCTTGAATGATTCGAGAGATCAATAACCATATCTACTAAAGAAGGGATTTACTTACAAAATCAACCTGGTCTCTTACCTTTATACGAAGAAACAAGTAACACATATCAAGAACACGATCCAAAGAATCCATCGAGTATGGCAACTGCACGCGTCCTATCTCCGCGACAGCGTAAATGTTACCTTCAACCAAATAAACAACATGTGCTTGAATTTCAAAGCTGACTATGTGCAGCCCGACTACAAACAATGACTTTAACCCACGAACAAGATTCTCAGGTAATTGACTGGAATCGCATTCGTGTTCGATAATATCAATTATTTGGGACAACTGATCACGCGCTGTCTTTACGACTTTTCTAAATTGCATTCGGACTTTATCTGAACCATCTGGATAATTAGGCCCCGAGTTTTCGAGAACACCTAATTCGACTCCACGAACATTATCGGGCCGTACAGAATAACACTATCAAACGTACATGTCGTCATTGGATATTGAAAAAACTGTATGTAGGTCAGTGAGCAGACATTGAAGACCTACCGAAATCAGCCAATCAAACTTATCACCGAATTGTCCAGTGTTCTCAGTAGTAAGTCGTCGTTTTCGAGACGCTCTTGACTCACCTTCACCGCTACATGAATAGCAAATGATAAACATTTAAAGTATAATCCAAATATTACCATAAGATTGTACTTACTAGTGGAGATGCGTGATGCCCCATAATATGTCCATAAATGGCTTGACAAGTGTCATGTCAACATCGCGCTCTGTCAAGCTAGTGTTGAGAAATCCTGTTCGGATAATTCGAATACTGGCGGAACCCAATCAGAACTAATAGATTTTGGATAAAGGGGCAAATAAATAATGCATATTCTAAATTTTCTACATACACTTCATCTATTGTATGAAATATCCATTGTATCTCATCGTCTTCCACATCAATGACTTTCAGTTTTTCGTTGATCATCTTCACATTGTCATTCATTGTCTTTTCATCGTCTGTACCTTCTTTACACTCCTCTTTGAGCAACTCCTCTATGGTCGCAGGCACAGCACGCCATATAATAGTCTTTTCGTTGAGATCTACGTTTAGTTGTTGAATCAAACCAACTACACCGACAACGCGCATTCGTTTGCAGAGACTGTCGATGTAATTCGTATGAAACTGACAACACACAATACGAAACGAATAAATATGGGAACTTTTCGGTACATACTACGTACAGTAAAGCAAAGGCTTACCTTTTGCAATGTGTCAAGTAGTGCAGTAGCACCTTTCGATGGCTTAAATAAGTTACCGACTGCAACTTTAGCCCGTTCTCTTACAATATTATTAACCTGCTCGCTTAAGAAGTCAGTCGCTCGGTAATCGTTTTTGTTCCCATTCAGTGGTGGAGGCCGGAGATCGAGGATACGATAATACATTATACTTGTTAAAAAGTAGATACACAAGCATACGGTAAGTATGGCGCCGATTTTGGTTAGCGGATCCACACCCAACATCAGCTATCACACAAACCTATTGCTTCCACCAGGTAATTGTCGCACGGTTTCAATAGCATCAGCAATAGCATTGAAGAATTCATTATCATACTGTTCTGTCAAACTCACAGTGGTTAATATATCATAATCGCCAGTTTTAGTCTGTAAGCACATTCAGGAGTAGAAACGATGAGATGGATGCTTTTGTAGACTATCATTATATTCTCTACTGACCGCCTTTCTCAACACATCATCAGATTTGTCAAGAGAATTTTTATAAGGTACGGACACCATCCGCTCATTATAGTCTTCATGAACCTTATACGAGTCGCGTGTGTTCCTGCCCGAAGAGAAAAATTCATCGATTTCTGCATCATTGTTAAATTTTCCGGTAACAGGATCAAGATCTGATTCATCGTCAGATCGTATATTGTCGTAAGCGTCTTCATATCGAAACCGTTTGGGAGTGGAGCCTTCTGCAGTTTCCTCAAGATCACTAGTTTTCTCCTACACATCCGAATGGAAAATGATAAAGCAACTTTTTTCATGAGCTATGAAATGCATTTTGTACTAACGTTCTTAGCTCTTTCAGATCGTTTGCCAGTATTAATAAGATTAGCATTATAAATAAAAAATTGGTAGGTTTACACTCTATAGTTTGCACTAGCATAGCAAATTTAAGTTGATGGACTTCAAAACGTACTTTCAGTAATTGATCTTCATGCGGGTTAAGGCTTTCAACTTTCGAAATAATTACGTCTGTATTATGTTTAGCGGTTGCATCCAATATCTGGAGGCTGCCAGATATATGATTATTTATTACAGAAATCTATTCATCATATCGTAACGAAAGATAATATAAATATACCAGTAAAAAAGCCAGTAAATAAAATTGTAATAAACGTTGACTTACGCGTCCTTTTTCATTGACAATATTTTGCCAGTAAGTCATTAAAGCCTTTTTTGCTGTTTCGGATTTCACCTATCATTGAAACAATTCATTAACAAGCCGTTTTACTGAGCGTATTATAAACAAAGTGAAGGAAAAGCGATCGCAATGGTAGCGCCTGGTACAATGATCAGATACTTCAAAGCCGGTACGATGATCGACTAGAAGCGCAACTACCATCACTTGGGCCGGTACGATGATCGAATACTCCTGATCGTACGATGATCGACCAGGAGCTCCCTCTGCTTGTTCTTATATTTTGTTAAGTATGAATCCAGAACCTTTGCAAGTACGTTATCATATTCGTCTGGTATAATATCTTTTACGACGCCCAAGAATCTCCTTTGCCATGTCGTTTGTAAACCGTTCCAGTCATCGGTATTCGGTGGAGAATCTTTGATCGTCTTCTGGTAAAGATCTAAAAATTCACTAAACGAACAACTACCTTTACATGTTCTTATATAAGAACAAATAGCTAGAAATACGAACGGTTAGTAAGTTACCAAAAGCAAGTATCTGAAACATAGAAACTTACATCTGTAGCCATGGTAATATTCTTCCGACATTGTAAGCTTGTTAACAAGACGCGAAATTTGTTAAAGCGTGCCCTCTTCATTATAATCATGTGACTATAAACTGTATCACCCGACCCGCAATCTATGAACACAAACCTCTTATTCCCTAATGCAGAATAATGTCGTTTGCTAGAAATACAGTAGTATGGAAAGTCATATTCACTGCGTTGTGTCATTTGAAATTTATTCATTAACTGCGATGGTAATTATAATAGATAACTAGTACTAGTGTATATTAATATTGAAGTCCGGTCAACTGCAGGTTATAATAGAGTATAGTTAATATGTTAAGTAATGTGCAGTGGTTAGTTTTATTTTTGATATGCGGGTTAAAATGGGGAAGTTATTGAAAGTTGTTGAGCAACACGTTGTAGTATTTCATATTCTTTTACTACATTTGAATCGGTTGTGAAAGCAGCTCTGTCTAATGCACCGATGTTTTGAGGGTTTCCCAAGTCGGACACCTACTAAGTGCAACGTAAGCTTGACCTGGAGGGAATATGTGATAATCCAATGATACAGTTATTTTTTGTAATGTAAGACCCTGAGTTTTATGTATTGAATGAATTCTGTAGAGGAAACCGAGTTCGAGAAGCTTTTGCCCTGCAGCATAAAAGTAGGAGGTTAGTGTGACTTTTGTTCCATTGCAAATACCTTTTTTTATAAGAGAATTATTTAAGAACATTACGCGAGATCCTTCTTGAATGCGTACGGTCAGCGGCCCCGTTGAAGATTCGTTTTCGTCGGAAACTGTATCTTTTTCAGGAACAAAATATGTAAATCGTATCAGTTGGGAGTTATCGTCGGTAGGCGACAGTATGTGAGACCTTTTTGTATGTTGTTCTCATTTATGGATTCTACAGTTTGTTGGGTAACGTAAGCAATGACGCGGGCATTTCTTTACTTTCTTCAAGAGAAAAATAATTAGAAGGTATGGCAATTGGGAATTTAAAAAGATATTTTATACATTTTCTTGTTTGTTTTTGTTTTCTGAGAAAATAACGAATATTGTCATAAAAGAATCAATTTATGTTATGTATTTTTCAGTAAATTTGTGGTATCTTAAAAGCAGTAAATAAACATATTAATATGTTATGATTACACATCAGTTAATTAAATAACCGTTTGCTATTAAACTCGATTATTTTTTAAGATTTTTGTCTGAATGTACAGTATTTCTTTTTTTGTAAATAACAACAATGATTTCTTGAAATATGCGGCAAACGTTTTATAATTACGTAATAAACTTTCTATTTCTCATGTGTGCTTTTACGTAATTATGTTTTTGAATCTATCTTTAATCAAATAAGCGATAATAATAATAACATTTCTTGCCATTTTATTTGACTGTGGGAAAATAATTTAATCTGTTACTTCCGATTGTGAATGGTAAAAATGATAACTAGCGTGAGAAGAAATTCATCGAACAATAGTTAATGAACGGGTAAAGTTTCGGATTCACACGAGTTTATATGTACGGCAGACAAAGTATAATAACGTTAGTAAGAAATTAGGTAGTCATGGGAAGTTTTTTATAAAATCAATTCTGCTCAGCCTCACGCATTACAGCACACACTCTGACGATAATTCTCCTCAAAATATGTCCCAAGGTCCATCGTCTAACAACACAAATAGAGAGTGGTTAGCTAAGAGTATCCAGGAAGGATTTATCAAACAATATTCAGAAGATGACCTCCTGGATCGTACACTTCTCGGTCACGGTGGATATGGTGTCGTATACAAAGCTCGAATAAGACATTCTGGAATATTAGTCGCAATGAAAACTTTGTTTCTAAATCGATACGAATGGGAAGACGAATTATATAAGCAATTTGTCAAAGAGGTTGTTATCTATCATCTTTATCTTATTAGTTGTTCCATAACATTTAAAGGCTGAATTATAATAATAGCTGAGAACTCATAAACAAGTGGATGACCATCCAAACGTTATCCGGTTCTTAGGAATATGCCAAGGTGCATCAAGTAATATTTGACGTTGTGTTTTCCTGTACATAATGATGATAACTTATTCAACTCTATAATGATAAACTTATAACGTGAACAGATTTATCTGGCCCCTATCACTATCACACGGTGTTTGAATATGCAGACGGTGGAACTTTGTTTGAACACTTGCAAAAATACTTCCCTAAGCTGACATGGAAGGACAAACACAAGCTGGCTTT